CAAATCTGCAGTGAAAGTGTTCTTAAAATGAACATGTGCTGGGTCATCATCTGGGACTGCTATAACATGAAATATATTGTAGAATGTGGGTAAAACAGAGCAGGGGACATACAATTCTCCCCCAAAGAATTCAGCAACAAATTTAATTAACACATTTTTTGTTAACAAGCGTCATCAGCATGGAAGTATGTCCTCTGGAATGGTGGCTAAAGCATGAATGGGTATATGTATGTTGGCATATCTGGCACATAAATACCTTGCAATGCTGGCTACAAAAGTGCCATGCAAATACCTGTTTTCACTTTCTGGTGACATTGTAAATAAGAAGAGGGCAGCATTATCTCCTGTAAATGTACACAAACTTATTTGTCTTAGTGATTGGCTGAACAAGTAGGACTGAGTCGACTTGTATGCTCTAAAGTTTTACATTGTTTTGTTTTCGAGTGCAGTTATGTAACAAAAACTCCTACATTTGTAAGTTGCACTTTCATGACAAAGAAATTGCACTACAGTACTTGTATGAGGTGAATTGAAAAATACTATTTCTTTAGCAGTGTTAATATTAGTAATCAAAAATAATATATACTTTGTATTCTGAGTTGTAACTGAAATCAATATATATGAAAAGGTAAAAAAAATCCAAAATATTTAATAAATTTAAATTAGTATTCTATTAACAGTGTAATTAAAACTGCAATTAATCACGATTAGTTTTTTTAATCGCAATTAATTTTTTTTAGTTAATCACGAGTTAACTGTAATTAATTGACAGCCCTACTTCTAAATAAAAGGAGAAATTATATGTGATAGTTATGCATTTTAAAAATGTTTCATTCTTCATTTTTTCCGTTCAGGTGATGATATTTTCTTGAATACTTATGTGTTTTTCCTGCATGCAGGTTCATTGACATGGATGTTTGAAGGGTCAGCAGAGATAAGACCTGAAAATGTTGAAGAAAAAGAACTGTTACTCTTGTGGATCATATACTTTAAATTCAACTTACTTTATTTTGGAATTAGAGTTAACATTGCTAAGTGCAAATCCAAGCAAACAAACACAAATATTCACATGTGCATAAAAGTATGTGTGTACCTAAACAATGTGTTTATACACACAACAAAAAACCCTTTAAAACTGTGTTTGTGTCTATAGGGCATAAAACTGTGTAGCGTCCTGGTTCCCTGACATGGTTGTATTAATATTGCGGAGAGGACGCTTTACAGCCACGTATACCATGGTCCACCAATCTCTATAATGTTTTCTATTATAGAGTTGAAAACCATTTTGTCCTGTCTATAATGACAGCTAAATTGTTTCCAGCAGTTAAAGAATCTCCAGCAGAAACTCACTGCTGAAATCCATTCTCAACAGTCAATTTCCTAGCATATATGGGCCCTCTCTCCATATAATAGCTTGACTGCTGAGATCAGGTGAGGTACCTGATCTTATTGGCTCTAGATTTGTGTATGTCAGGGTCTAGTAACAGGATAAAATCTTCAGAACTACCTAAGCAAATTAGGAGCCTAAATCACATTTTCAAGAGACTTAAGATGGTCTGCACTAGGAAATTAGGTTGGTATAACTACATCGCTCAGAGGTGTGAAAAATCCACAGTCCTGAATGACACATTTAAACCAACCTAATCCCCAGTGCACTAGGAACTACTGCCGCTCAGGGAGGTGGAGAACCTACGCTGACTGGAGAAGTCCTTCCATCGGCATAGATAGTGTCTCACTTAAACATTACAGTGGTGCAGCTGCTGCAGTGCAGCTTGTGCTGCTGAAGCGTTTTCAGAGTAGTGTAGACCATCTTAAGTCTCTTGAAAATGAGGCCTAAGACTCTCTTAGGACTTAGGTTCCTAAGTGTTTATGTCACTTTTGAAAATAAGATTTAGGGTTTAATCCCCAAAAGCACATAGGCATCTAAGGCCTGGTCTATACTAGTAAATTAAGTCGTCTTAAATATGTCATTCAGGTGCGTGAAAAATCCACACCCTGAGCATTGTAGTTAAACTGTTCTAACCCCCAGATTAGATAGCGCTAGGTTGACAGAAGAGTTCTTCCATCGACATAGTTACTGCCTTTTGGGGAGGTGGATTGTCGATGGGAAAACCCCTCCCATCAGTGGTAGAGTCTACACTGAAGCACTATAGTGGCACAGTTGTAGCAGTGTAGCTGTGCCGATGTAGTATTTCAAGTGTAGACAAGGCCATAATCCCACTTTAGGCACTACTTAGACACCACTGAGATCCTCAGAACCTCCACTCAGCTGCTGCCTAACTCTGGAGGCACTTATAATCCCCCAGAGGCTACATTTTCACTATAAAAGTCCCTTAGGGTATGTCTACACTACGAGAGTAGTTCAATTGTACTTAAATCGAATATGTGGAATCGATATTACAAAGTCGAACGTGTGTATCCACACTAAGGACAGTAATTCGACTTTGTGAGTCCACACTAATGGGGTAAGCATCGACATTGGAAGCGGTGCACTGTGGGGAGCTATCCCACAGTTCCCGCAGTCCCCACTGCTCATTGGAATTCTGGGTCGAGCCCCCAGTGCCTGCTGGGGAAAAAAAATGTGTCGAGGGTGGTTTTGGGTAACTGTCCTCCTCCAACTGTCACTCCCGCCCTCCCTCCCTGAAAGCGCCGGCGGGCAATCAGTTTGCGCACTTTTCTGGTGAGTGACAGCGCGGACGCCACAGCACTGCGAGCATGGAGCCTGCTGCAACCATCGCTGCAGTTATGGCCGTTGTCAACACCTCGCACTTTATCATCCACCTTTTCCAGAGGCAGATGCTGAGAAATCGGGCGAGGAGGCTACGGCAGCGCGGTGAGGACATGAAGTCTGAGAGTGGTGGCACAGACCTCTCACAAAGCACGTGACCCCGCGCCATGAACATCATGGTGGCAATGGGTCATGCTGATGCTGTGGAACGGCGATTCTGGGCCCGGGAAACAAGCACGGACTGGTGGGACCGCATAGTGCTGCAAGTCTGAGATGAATCACAGTGGCTGCGAAACTTTTGTATGCGTAAGGGAACTTTCCTGGAACTTTGTGAGTTGCTGTCCCCTGCCCTGAAGCACAAGGACACTCAGATGCGAGCAGCCCTGACTGTCCAGAAGCGAGTGGCCATAGCCCTCTGGAAGCTTGCAACGCCAGACAGCTACCGGTCAGTTGCGAATCACTTTGGCGTCAGCAAATCTACCGTGGGGGTTGCTGTGATGCAAGTAGCCAACGCAATCGTTGAGCTACTGCTGTCAAAGGTAGTGACCCTTGGAAACGTCCAGGTCATCACAGATGGCTTCACCGCGATGGGATTCCCAAACTGCGGTGGGGCTATAGATGGAACTCACATCCCTATCCTGGGACCGGACCACCAGGCCAGCCAGTACATTAACCGAAAGGGCTACTTTTCAATGGTGCTGCAAGCACTAGTGGACCATAGGGGACGTTTTACAAACATCAACGTAGGATGGCCGGGCAAGGTTCATGACGCTTGTGTTTTCAGGAACTCTGGTCTGTTTAGACGGCTGCAGGAAGGTATTTACTTCCCGAACCAGAAAATAACTGTTGGGAA